AGGATAAAGTTATGGTTGTTCATAATGATAAATACAATTTAAGTCAATTTAAGTGTGCTATGAACATAACACCCCTGTGATGTCTTCCTRTTTGTAAACCACAGATTGTTAAAAAAAAACATAATTAAGTCACAGCATGGATTGGAATGATGTTTGTGCTGCCAGTAGAAGTACTTTTCTTAAACTGGTAAACTAAACACGTAAGGCTGTCCGATTCCATGTTTTGCTGTTTGTTACTCACTGGTTTGTTATATTTCACACAAATTTATCATGAATGTAGCCGATAAATTCACCTCCTCATTAACCTTTGAATCAYGTACCAAAGTGGTGACATAACTTCAACACTTTAAAAGCTTCAGACACCATTGATGAAACAGACTTTTACCAAACAAATCAAGCTCTAACACAGTGATATTAAAACACAGTTTTTTYCCCCAATTTATACGCTGATGCTTCACTTGTCTACAAGCAAACAGTGAAACGCTGAAGACATTTTGACCGACGAGCTGGTTGAGCTACCAAGAACTCCTCAAATTAGACCTGAATTTAAATTACTTAAAATATTAATGCCTGAATTTTCTTTTTATTTATAACATCATTCCACATCTACAAAATTAACAATTGATTTTCCTGTTTTACAGACATGCAAGTGAAGGAGCTGAACAAGCGTGCGTCAGGTCAAGCGTTTGAGGTAATCCTGAGTCCCACCACCCCTGACGCTAAGGTGGAGTTCCCTCTCTCCCCTAAAACGAAGAAGGGAACGTCCCTGGATGAGATTAAGAAGAAACTGGAAGCTGCAGATGAAAGACGCAAGGTATCTAGAGATCTTGATGCAGAAACCAAACTAGCACATGAGGTTGTTGATTCACACCAAAGCCTCTCTTCTCTGCGACAGAGCCACGAGGCTGAGTTGCTGAAGCATCTGGCCGAGGCGCGGGAGCACCAGAAGGAGGTCGTCCAGAAAGCGATCAAGGAAAGCTGCGACTTCAGCAAGCAAACGCAGGAGAAAGTCATCCAGAAGATGGAGGCGAACAAAGAGAACCGCACCGCCCGGCTGGCGGCGCTCAATGAGAAGTTCAAGGAGAAGGTGAGCTCCTGCTCTGATTGGCAGCCAATCCACAGCTTGTGTGGTTGAAAATAAAAGAAAAATAATAAAAATAACTTCTGTCTTCAAATATTTTACAGGACAAGAAGCTGCAGGAAGTGAGGAAGAACAAGGAGCAAATGAAAGACACAAAGAACTAATTTGTTTTCTTCACAATCTGATCGCAGTCTGTACGTTTATAAAGTTAAGCTACAGTGTTTTATGTGTAAACCTCAAATCTTTGTAGTTAGTTTTCTTTATATTGTTTATAATATATGTTACATGTTATTTGACTTTTCTGGGKTTTTTTTCTGTAATTCATTTTGGCAGCTTAATATACTGTATCTTTTTTTGAGGCATTCCCTGGCAACAAACTATGTAATTAATGCCTGTCTAAAATAATGCTGCATGTTTGAACTGACAACACGAGGTTTACTCATCCAGCACCTTACGCTGGATTGTTGGGCATACTTGCATTTCCCAAATGCTGGATGAAACTTTATTTTTGTATGATTTCATTGTGTAACACCTGAGCCTGCTGTAATACTTTCATGTACACTGTTGCTCATCTGTTAATAAACCTTCACAATGCTGACACCTAGTGGCCAGWTTGGTTATTACAGAAAATAGTATTAACAGAAAAGTCCTGATCGTGACCTCTGACCCTGAGGTCCACATTCTTAAACTAAACTGTTTTATTTAAAGTTATTTTTGACTTAAATACTAAGTAATGTTTCTTTAAGATTTATTGTCCTTTGACTCCTAATCAGCCACAGCATGACAAAAAGCTTACACGCTTTATTTAAAAATAACTTCTTTTAACATTTATGAGTTGTTTATTATGTTATAACATTGGTTTTTCAGATAAAACTATTGTGTTCAAAAGGCATCTGTGTAAAAGTTAGGATAAATTAATCTCAGGGTTAAGTTAATTCATAACATTGAGAGTGTTCAAATCTACTTCAGTTCAATTGTTTTCCTTTGTGTTTATTTTCATATCAGATAAAAGCATTAATCAGTAAACTTTGTTATTTCACAACTTAAAATGATTTTAGTCTGAAACTCGTATTTCATATTAAACTTCAATCAAACGTTMGGTTCCTCATCTCATTGTTACGGCTGATGCCTGCTAGCAAACAATAAGTGAGCTCTGTGTGGTATTTCCTGCATCGAAACAGCATTTTAACACATCTTTTAAATACTGAAAATGACTACATGTATAACTAAAAAAAACATGAAATAAAAACAGAAATACTACTAAAAGTAAAAGTAGGAGAGTTGTGGTGAGTGGCTGCAATCTTAAATTCTGAACTCTCCCACTTTCTGACTTCCAACTGGAGTGGGCGTTCCAGTTTAAATTCAAGGCTTGCAAGTGGGAAATTCTCAGTTTCCGGTACCCGTGCAAAAAAACAGTGAATACGCAACGAAAGAAGAGATTTTTCACTTTTGAACCCTCTAGTGGTGGGACGCCATCCTTTTGCAGGCAAAATAACCAATTATGGGAGATGCCTTTAAAGCAGAATACACTTATTTTAAGACATTAAAACATCTTTGAAGCTCTCGCAGACCACGTAAAATGCAGCGGCAGGCCACTTTTGACCCATGGCCTTAAGTTTAACACCTTGCATTCAGTATTTTTTTTTTAATTCCAGCTTTTTTTTGTAGTAATTCAACTCAGAAATCTCTCTCTTGGGCATTCCTAAATGCATTTTTAAAATAATGATGTAATAATGCCAAACATAGTGTCCTAAAACCTTATCTTGGCCATGTGACACAGTCAGACAAAACCTGTGTGCCATCTGATCTACTGTACTGTGTTACGTAAAGAGACAAAAGTCATGTTAGCATTTCTAGGTTTAGTTATCTCTGCTTGCATCTTGCTGGGGCTTGCAGTCACTTCTAACCAGTAAAAGAAAAAGGGTTGGCATGTTATTCAATTAAAGTTGCCAGACTTGTTTGATTAGTCGCCACTGAAAATGTACACGTTTTGTTGGTGACAAAATTGTCAAATAAGAGGAGTAAAAGGTAAAAACGTTGGCTCAGATTTGGATCACAAGCCTGAGCACCATCATGCAACATCTGTGGTTAAAACTGATGTTAGCTGTTTCAGTCAGCACTGTGTGTTAGCAAAATATCTCATTAACCGTAGGACAGATTAGTTGGCAGACAATTGTCGTGATTTAAAACTTTATTGTGCAAGACGCTGAATGACGTGCATCCATATTACGTCTTTAGCTATTTACATTTTTTGTGAGACAAGTGTTTTTTTTGTTTGTTTGTGATGAGGCCTGTGTGCGTCAATCAAGGAGTTGTTTGTTCTTAAATTAACGACTCAGCAATTCCTTATAAGGATGGGAAAAACTGTGCTAATCCTTACCTCAGTTGTTAAAAACAGCTTTGTGTGTAAACATGTCTGTGTGTCTTAAAATACATTTCARGAGCAAACTCCTTTACCATWGAAGGAATTGCATGTCGGTTGATCCTGCTTTGTTTACATYTGGGTGTGGTAGAAGGTTATAAGAAGGGGAGACCCAGAAAGTTCTGGGGAGATCTTCRCTCAATTGGCCCGAAGTCTCTTGATTTGGTTTAGGMTGTTATTAGGATTGCCATTCCCTTCTAGGCCSCTTTTACATGGYGTTTAATGGTTTTTAGTGGTTTTGACTGGTTTTAGCCCTCCCAGGCCCCTTTCACATGGTTTTTGATTGTTTTTGATGGTTTGGTGGGGGTTTTAGCCCTCTGTCCCTTTAATACGATTTTGGATGGTTATTGGTCGTTTTCAGGGGTTTTCGATCCTCCCAGGCCCCTTTCACTTGGATTTTTTAGGGTTCTTTGTGGGTTTGAGTGGTTTTTGGCCCTCCTAGGTCCCATTTACAGGGTTATTGGTGGTTTTTGGTAGTTTGGGGGTGGTGGGTGGGGTTCTCGGCCCTCCAAGGCTAACAGTACTGCTGCCAAACTAAAAATCCAACATTGCTGCCACATCTAAAATGCTATATTTACCATAACTCAGCACTTTTTTGGACACATTTGCCTCAAATTTGGGTTGGTGGTTCATCACAGTGATCTCCAAACAACCGTATAGTAATCATATCTTTTCAAAAATTCTTAAAAKGAGTTTGGCACATGGCAATCCTCTCATAGTTTCTGCAGGAACTTTCTGAATAAACCTCACTGTTCAAGAATAACTTTTGTCTACAGAGTCATTTCTTTAAGCACTCCATCACTGCTGAGATTTCAAAGACACAGAAGAACGGTCATCATTAAAATACACTTCAGTCACAAACCCTCCGTCTGCTTCTCAGTTCTTTTGTTTTTAAACATGTGTTTGGAAGAAACTCATCAGCCCAGAATAATGTCCCATGGTGCTCTGCGGTGTTCTGAGCACACAGGAGACCAAAAACTGGCTCCACGTCAGCAACATTTTCTCGGCTTCTTCTGGATTTTATTGGCGTAYGGCATTTCCTGACTGCTCTGCGATATACTCACTGTACATCTATTCCAAAGCTGATATTTTTTTCCTTTAAGCCGCAGATCATCTTAGAGTGGACCAACACCCAGAACGACAGCACGGTTTAGTGTTTTCTTTGGCTCGCCCTGAATCCAACTCTGTGGGGACAATACCCTGAGTAGGGTGATTTGAATCAAGGAACAATAGAGAGCTTTCAGAGACACCAAGGTGTAACACAGGCGYCTTTCACTGAATGCAAAACAAGAGGGAACAGCATGGGTCGTAGTTTACCACAGCATGGAAATGACTTGTTTGTCCATCAGTGGTGGACAAAGTACTCAACTCTAGTACTTGAGTAAAAGCATTGAAACTCGGGGTCAAATCTACTCAACCACAAGTAAAAGTTACTCCATGAAAAATCTACTCAAGTACTGAAGTACTTACGTTTGAAAATACTTAGGTATTCAAAAGTACATGCATTTAAAATTACTCAAGGATTCAAAAGTACAAATTACATTTTCTACTATCAACAAATTGCTGTATTGTTTTCAGAGTGAGTTAACTGAACCTTGCAGCTCTCAGAAACCACCTGATGTATTGACACATACAAGCCCTGACAAAAATGATGGAACAAATGCGCCCGACGTTTTCGAGTTTTTGTCGGCATCAGAGTAGGTATCTTTTCAGCTAATCAAAGATGGCGGTTAAACTATCGACCGAAGAATTCATCTTAAATTTAAGTTTTTTTTAACTTTGCTAATGCATTAATATGTTAAATAGCATACTGCATATGAAACAAGTTTAATCAGTTTGAACATTTAAGTGTTACAGTTTTAAAAATAGTAATGTTTTCCCTCCCTTGAAGTTACGTTTTTTTCCAACACATTTAACTTGTGTAAATTTATATTGGTGATGACATAACAATAATCTCATATAATATATATGAGAGAAATGAGAAAACTTATCAGCTCATCAAGAGAGGCTGTCTTCACAGGGGCTAAACACTCAGCTTGGAAGTAAGCAATATATAATGGACTTACACCTTTATTATCAATAAATACTACAAAAAAATATTTAGAGCTTTGTGATATGGACCCCACAAAAATGACAATTTTTTGCGTAATGCTGGCCATGTTGTTTTGTAGCATGAGAGAATTTTTAAGACTGACATGAAATCTTTTCTTTATCCCAACACTAGCATCTTTGTTGTCCTTTTTGTTATTAGTGCAACTCTGGAGGAACCAGACAAGGAAGTGTGACGGCCTTGCAAGCCAAAAAGAAATGGGACCATTTGAACAAAAAAATACAAAGTATGTAAATATGGTTTCAATTATTTTCGTAACTGGTTCCAAACTATCCCATTTGAACAAAACTTTACTCATATTTTTTTGCTGTCATGAATTCTGTTTTAGGATTACACTATCCAGGGTCAGGTGTATCAAGGGTCAGGTGTATCCAGGGTCAGGTGTGTCCAGGGTCAGGTGTATCCAGGGTCAGGTGTGTCCAGGGTCAGGTGTA